GACTTTGTCAATAATTTACTGCAGCGAAGGACCATGGCTGTGAAGACAAGCACAAAAGACCTGACGCTGACGCTAACAAGTTGAAGCCGATGGTCCAAATTTCCGAAAAAAAAGGATTCTATCTGTATCTACTGGATCATCGAGCCTGCTTTGCATGAGGCTTGCACAAACATATGGCCTCCATGGAGTGTAGTAGAGTAGATCAACGGAGATGGACAAAGTCAGGAGAATCATTGTCGGATTGAGAAGACCCTACATAGAGGGGGTCTTTACATGGCTAAATGAAGACCCAGATATAGAGGGCCGTTACTTAGTTCTGATGGAAAACACTGGTCTGAGAATGTATTCGCCTTAAGAAGTGAAATATTACAACCAGATTTCCAGCTCCTGGACCCTGGAAACATCCAAGGCACCGGCGGGCCAAGGAGATATACTGATGCCCCTTCATAGCACGTGCTATCACGAACTCCACATGCTATCAGGAATCCTCCCGAAAGGGCAAAAGTAAGGTCGCGTGAAGAAAAATTGACTGTAGAAGTGGATGTGATGGCGAGCAGCATCGTTCAAAGATTATTCAGAACCGTACTTCAGAAACCTTCCTAGCTCACCTAGGTTGACATGCTGCTGAAACCACTCCATAGTTTGCAAACGAAGCTGTGGGCATCAGAGTTGGTAGCATGGAAACTGAGGCAGTGAAGTATAGAAACGAGGGAGATCAAGAGTCATGAAGAAATTACAAGGTAAGCTGGACGAATGTTAAAAATCAACAAAATTGCAGATGTCTGGTCAAAACAAAACATGTTGGATGCCTCTAGAGAGCTCGAAGAGGTGGCTACTTTTTTGATCGGAACAATCTCTAAAACTGGGAGGAATTTACTAGGAAATCAACAGTGAGGAAGAGCGGAAACCAGAACCAGAAAAGTGAACCAGAATTATGAAGGGAGGTGCAAGACGTCAAAATACTGCATTGCGGATCTTACTTTCAAAAAATGGTGGCAGCCTTAAGCTAGGAATTGCTTCCTCATATCAGAAGTAAGATATAAGTTGAGTAAAATCAGAAAACAACCGATTTATACGAAAATGAATAAGGGCAGACTCGGGTGCAACTGGCGATGCGCTGCGGTGGATCAGGTGGCCTGGTCAGTAAATCGAAATCATGCTGCTCCCTATCGGATTCTTGAGCTTATTGAGAGGTTCAGCCGTTCAACATCGGGATGATTGCATTCTATCGGAGTAAAGAACATTCGTCCATTCTTCATTTCCTCAGCAAATTCATCATCTGCCTTTCTTCTTGTAGTATATCCTCTACAATCGCCCCTTTTCGTGTTTGACCTATCTGCTCTTCGAAATCAATCTCCTTCTTTCTTTCCCGCTAGCACCTCCAGGGGGTAATGGAACTTCTCCCCTATCGCGGCATTCTCCCTTGCGGCATGCGGCAAATGTCACTGCAATTACCGTACTCACCCCGCCTCCCNGCGCTCCAACTTCCATCGCAATTCTGCGGTTGGCGGCGGGTGCGGCGTGTGCGACGCCGTGTTAGGGGAGAAGTTCCCGGACCCCACCTCCAGGTCAAAAATTCCGGCTGGAATTTCAAGGTGGAGCAGGTTACCGGCATCGAAGTGAGGGATATTACACTAGAAGCTCGCGGCTCACTGTTCTTAAAAGCACAGAGCGTATTCGGAGAGAATGAGGCTTCAAAAGGGATGTAAAATTAGAAGCTGCACGAAAATGATATGACACAATTTGCATGGAGGGGTATTTGAGCGAGCCATCCTATTGTACCCGTCATTGCATACAACTAGCAGCAATATGCTGTCCGGATACGGTATGGGTCCCGGTGAGAATATTGCAACCTCATTGCTTTTAAGCTATAAAGAGACTGTCGTGTGAACGTCAGATAAGCCAGTTTTAGGGTCCTTTTTGCGCCCCATCTTGGCCGTTTTCCGCCCCAAAGCGTCCTGTAAGCTATCTTTGGGGGTTACAGGTTCATCCAGGAGAGAAAACACAGAAATCATTTTCAACGTGAACTGCCCCTCTTACAATAATGAAGCGGTAACATGCGCGAGCTTCATATCAAGAGGACGAGGCTTCTTAGACCGCTCCTTGGATCTTATAGGTCCAAGCATTCTATTTCCATAAAGGATCAGAAGGTGCTCTCGTAAAGATGGAAGGAGGGGTACCTCATTCTCGTTATATTGTCAGAAAGAATGATTCGCGATTACTTCCTCAAACATTTGCATCAATGCAACGCATCATTAAAACATTTCAGCTTCATCAACGATCATAATAAAAACGTAGAAATTCTAAGCGAGAGTACAATATAGCTCTCGCTGTAAGGCAAAATTGTGGCAAAACTGCTAATTCTCCGTACAAAATGTAAGTGAAGGTAATGCCAAGATGACAAGTGTAGCTGTTAAATACATCAGAGCATCGATTAAAAGTAGACAGGAAGCAAATCTTAAGAGAAGCATCAAAGTGAGGCGAGTTGTGGAACTATTCAACAATCGATTGACAATATTTCCTTCATTAAAAGCTGAAATACCGGAATAAGGAAAGAAACGCTTTCAAGATGATCCATGAACAACTGGCGAGGATTGAGTAAACGGTAGCACGGACGAGTAACGGAGTCCAACTTGACTCCAGCTCACGTATCAGGGTTTCAACCTAAAATCTGCTTATAACTTTTCAGAATGAAATAGAATCTTGGTTTCACATGGATCGAGCTCTTCTCTAGAAGAATTTATGGACGAATTGTCAACATAGTACTTAGGCTACAGGAATCGAAAGATTGCATCAACTGAAAGTGACAAGTAACCTCTGTTGGGTATATGAGAGTGAGAAAAACGTTGACACGGGTTTATGGCACTTCTGTAGGCACACCACTCACCAAAATTCAGTCTTCAAGAAAATTTTCAGAGAAGCTAGTCGAGCAGCAAGAGAAGCGATATGATTTACTCCGTTGAGCCTTTACCCTCCACAACAGCAGTTTATGCAAGACTATGAATTCCTAGAGACACAGCTGATGATAAAAATGGTTCCTGAGATTCCATCCAGGGATGAATCCGTGGTTCTCAAGGATTGCATAAGTGACGCTGTAGGGTCGAAAATGGACCATTCGCACCAGGACGCACGCGCTGCACTCAAGCTGCCTACTGTAATCAGATGCACGAAATGGTACACACTCAAAAACGCTCACATTCCACCACCTAGAGGCGGAGTCTGGCCCTGCCATCTATCTTTAGCGTTCTCATCCTGCCTCCTGTACTCCTACAAAATTTGAATGTTAATGGTACAAAATAGTAACTTTCGCTAACGCCTCGCCCACTTTGGGCGGAGTCTATCCTGCCACTATCATCAGTTATAACGTCCTGCCGCCTGTAATCACGGGGGGACATTCGATTCGTGTGATTCTGGGTGCACGCGGCAAATTGCGAGGCGAAATTCTGTGCAATTTGGACGACTGCAGCGCCTATCATTGGGCCCAAATTTGAAGTAAAGTAGGTTAGTAGAATTATCCGA